CACGGAACGTGTTTCAGCAAACAATGTTGAAGCTCTACTCTTCATTTTGTTCCTCTTAATATTCGCCATCGCCGCTTCTTGGTATGTCTGGCTGGAAGGTGTGGCAAAGGATCGAAAACGATCCAAGCTCTTGTTGGACTGTGTCTTGATTATCACTAGCGTTGTTCCTCCTGAACTGCCAATGGAGCTGAGTTTGGCTGTCAACACCAGTCTTGCTGCTCTCAGCAGGTTTGCCATTTTCTGTACCGAGCCTTTCAGAATTCCCTACGCTGGACGAGTTGATATTGCATGCTTTGATAAAACGGGGACTCTAACGGGTGAGGATCTATTGGTTGACGGAATTGCAGGGCTTTCCTTGGGCCACGCAGGCGCAAAAATCGACAAGCATGGAGCCCACACTGATATTATTCCCGTCGAAAAAGTCGCGAATGAAACTACCCTTGTCCTCGCCACAGCCCATGCCCTCGTAAAATTGGATGAAGGTGATATTGTTGGCGATCCTATGGAAAAAGCAACCTTGACTTCTCTTGGATGGGTCCTTGGTCATGATGATGTATTGACAAGCAAGGCTTCCGGGTCATCACGACAACCAGGTCGGGTTCTCGATTCCGTTCAAATCAAACGACGATTCCAGTTTTCTTCCGCTCTAAAGCGCCAGAGTGCCATTGCGACCGTTGTAAGCACCGATCGACAAACTACGAAAAAACTAAAGGGAACGTTTGTTGGTGTCAAAGGCGCCCCTGAAACAATCAGAACCATGCTTGTTTCTACCCCTCCCCACTATGAAGAGACGTTCAAGTACTTCACTCGTAACGGCGCCCGAGTTCTCGCTCTTGGATACAAGTACCTCTCAACCGAGTCAGAGCTTGGCCAAGGGCGAATTAACAATCTGAAAAGAGAAGATGTGGAATCTGACCTGCATTTTGCTGGATTCCTCGTATTGCAATGTCCATTGAAAGATGATGCCATAAAGGCACTTAGGATGCTGAATGAAAGCAGCCATCGTGTGGTAATGATCACCGGCGATAACCCACTTACAGCAGCTCATGTTGCTCGCCAGGTAGAAATTGTTGATAGAGAAGTTCTAATTCTTGACGCACCGGAGAACGACAGTTCTGGCACAAAACTTGTCTGGCGAACTATCGACGATGGTTTTAGTGTTGATGTTGACCCCAGCAAACCTTTGGACAGTACAATTCTGAAAACCAAAGATCTTTGTGTTACAGGCTATGCGTTGTCCAAGTTCAAAAACCAAAAGGCCCTCACTGATCTACTCAGACATACTTGGGTATACGCTCGTGTTTCTCCGAAACAGAAGGAAGATATTCTACTAGGTATGAAGGATGCTGGATACACGACTCTTATGTGTGGTGATGGTACCAACGACGTTGGTGCGCTCAAGCAAGCTCATGTCGGTGTCGCTCTATTGAACGGCTCTCAAGATGACCTGAACAAAATCGCGGAGCATTACAGGAATACAAAAATGAAGGAAGTGTACGAGAAACAAGTAGGGTTGATGTCTAGATTTAACCAACCAGCACCTCCGGTACCAGTGGCTATTGCTCATCTGTATCCTCCGGGACCAAACAATCCACACTACGAAAAGGCAATGCTCCGTGAAGCACAAAAGAAGGGAATTACCGCCGCCACTGCAGGTCAACCAGGTCAAGAAAACGGAATCGCGACTATCACCACCCCAGGGGCGCAAGCGATACAAGTGTCCACCGCAAACTTAACACCTCAGCAGCTACAGAAGCACCAGGCGTCAATTGCCGCGGCGGGTCTCGCTGATAAACTTACAGCCTCAATGATGGAGCAAGAGTTAGACGACAGTGAGCCTCCAACCATCAAATTGGGCGATGCTTCAGTTGCCGCGCCTTTCACTAGCAAGCTTGCAAACGTGATCGCGATACCGAATATTATCCGCCAAGGTCGATGCACATTGGTTGCAACTATCCAGATGTACAAGATCCTGGCTCTAAATTGCTTGATCAGCGCATACAGTTTGAGCGTCATTTATCTTGATGGTATTCGATTTGGTGATGGACAGGCTACCATCAGTGGCATTCTCATGAGTGTGTGCTTTTTGTCAATCTCTCGTGCGAAGGTATGTTTTCCCCAAGGATCTCTGTTTGCGCCTTTTCTATAGACGGAATTCTTACTTACACGCCATTGAAATAGTCTGTCGAAGGACTCTCCAAAGAACGGCCACAGCCGAACATATTCAACATGTACATTATGGGATCCGTCCTTGGCCAATTTGCCATCCACGTCGCAACACTGATATATCTTTCGAACTACGTCTACTCAATAGAGCCGTAAGTTCACCTCATCCTTGATTACCTTAAAACATAGACTTACAAGTTTTGAACCCAACTAACCCGTCCCGGTTTATTTCAACAGTAAAAAGGAAGTTATCGACTTAGAGGGCGAATTCGAGCCGTCCCTCCTCAACAGCGCCATCTACCTTCTCCAACTAATCCAACAAATCTCCACCTTCTCCATAAACTACCAAGGCCGTCCCTTCCGCGAATCTATCCGCGAAAACCGCGGCATGTACTGGGGTCTCATCCTCACCTCAGGCGTCGCCTTCTCCTGCGCGACAGAATTCATCCCAGAACTCAACGAGAAGCTCCGCCTGGTTCCTTTCACCACTGAATTCAAATTTACGCTGACGGGACTGATGCTGATAGATTATGTTGGCTGCTGGCTTGTTGAGAATGTTTTGAAGAGGAACTTTAGTGATTATAGGCCGAAGGATATTGCGGTGCGGAGACCGGATCAGTTGGCTAGGGAAGAGGAGAGGAAGAGGCTGGAGGAGGACGAGGAGGAAAGGGAGAGGGAAATGGCGAGTAAATCTTGATTTGATTATATAGATTGTGTTTAGATAGATGTTTGAAGGTATGGGGAGGAGTTATCTAATCTTCTTTTTGCTTTCCTTCCCCTTTTCCCTCTCCCTTTCCCTGCCGCCCTTTTGGTTCTTATATAAAATTCTCAAACTGCTGCGAGTCTAATGGTATGGTATACTGTACGATGTCTGATTTTCTAATTGATTCTTTCCCTTTATTTGCTTTTTTTGCTTTTTTTCTCTGCTCAAATTTAGACGAGGAAAATGGGTATATATAAATATCTTTATCCTTCTTATCTCTTCCCAAAAATATTTTGAGAGAGGAAAGTCTTTTGGCATGTCCTTTTATGTGGGATTCATGGATTTGTTTTGTTCTCCTATTTCTTTTTTCATGTTACCACTATTGTTCTTCCTATCACATACGTTTTCAGGGCTATAAGACGATATTATTCACGGTGTATGTATGTCCATGTACACCCTGGAAACTGGATCATGGTGATTTGATATTGTGGCAAGCGTAGCTATTGATACAAGATCTTCTCCCAAGTGAATTAGGTTGGATGGCACCACACATTGCGAGATAAAAAATATAAATAGGCATCTAAATTCATAAAATCAATTGATATATATATATATATACCTAGGTAATTAAACATATGTGGCTAATAAAGGAGAATTTATCGTTGTTCACATCTCAAAAATGATATAAAAGGTCGAGTACGAAGAAAGTACCAAGGGAAAAGAAAGGAAAGAGTTATTCATCTATACCTGTAAACTATGAGGCTGCTTTTTTCACCTCCGGTGTCTCCAGGAACTCCTTGAGGATCGAAACTATTTTCTCCAAGGAAGTGGTAGACAGCTCTAGAGCAGCCTGGGATTTGACGGAATCATCACCCAGATTCGCGTAGAAATCCTTGCGGTAAGGGGTTGCCCCCATGGCAGCCGTAAAAATGGGTTTTATGAGGAAATTGTGATACGGTTTGAGGGTCTTACCGTAGGCTACACGGAACGAGGCGGAGAGTTCGTCTGTGGGATTCGAGATGTTGTGGCGGAGAGCTTGGGCGGTGAAGTCGAGTCCCCTATCTTTTTGTTAACTAGGGTATCTATTGTTTTTCCGGCCGCCTTTTGAGCTTTGTAGTTGAGGGAATAGTTCAAAGGGTAAGAAAATGCAGTGATTCGAGCTCGACATACCGCACTAGCCACAGCAGGCCAACGGTGGCGGTGTTCTTCTTTGCTTTTAGTTCATTGAGCACCAGCGCTTGGAGAGTCTCAGATTCTGCTGGTGCTGCAAGTTGTCTGTCTCTGATTTTCTAAGAAGGGATTCTGCAATTAGCGCCAATTATATATATTGAAAATGGGAGCGATAAGGTATGGTTGGTTACCTTGATATTGCCCAAGAGGTCATTCTTGACGGGGGTAAAAGCGACAGACCCCAAAAGATCTGACAGAAATTAACACGAATTAGCTTTCACACGGTGAAAAGAGCACCTATTGCATATAAATGGGAGATATACCAAAGAGCGTTGTTAGAGACTCAGCGGCTTCGAGGAATTCGGTGGTTGAGATGGCGTTGTCGTCGGCGATACGTACGCTGTAAAAGCCTCTGTTGAGAGTATCGAACCAGGTGCCTCCTTGGGGAATAACTTGGGTGCTAGCCATGGAGATATAGATAGATTCTATAGGGGGTATATTTATCAAAATAAACAGGGGAATCTCATTAAAAACAAAGTTCTGTAGAGCAATGTATCCTAGAGATATGTCTGAGGAGGAGGACAAATAAGTCGCTCCTTCAAGAGGGCAATTTTCCTGGGTGCAAATATAGCCAAAACCGCGGCAGTCTCTGCAAACAATGCAAACATTACAAACAATACAAACAGGCACGTTAGAAGCCGACGTCATAGGCGGCTCTGTTTTGCGCAGAACTTCCGACGTTTAACGTCAACCTCAAATTCACTACCTCCGGCCAACTCCTTGTCCAACTTCATCCTCACGGAGTCCGGTATGTAGAGTGTTCGTTCGCCACGTAGAAACCTGCTGTTATGCTGCCCTGGAGGCTTTGCTTTGATGGCACGTTTTCCGTGTTTACCTTTGTTTCCTTGCTATTTCATTCCACTCTAGCGATAATTCTGCAGAACCCAAGAAGAGTCCCAATATGAGTAATCCCCAGGGCTTCAACCAGCCGTCTCCAACTCAATCAGGCACTGGTACCGACGACGGGCATTTCGGGTTGCGTCCTGATTCATACACATCACAGAGACTGGTGAGTTGACTGTCTTGACCAAGCAGTCTCGTGCAAGAAATAATATATGCTTAATCTCTATGTCTTTCTCCAGCGACATTCCTCTCACAAACACCTTCATATCACCAGTCGGCGAACATTTATTGGCCCAATACCTTACAGCTGGTTACAGTCCCACCGTAAAACGTGGTATAAGAAATGGTTGGGGTTGAAGAATTACTCGTCGCGGGCGGTAACCTTCTCTGCAGACACATCGTCAAATCGTGCAAAGCAACGTCAATTGACTAGCTTTCTTAGTGTTTCAAATAGAGTTATTCAGAGACAGAGTTTTCCTCAACCAGAAGACGTATATGGTGGTGACGAGCCGGTCGAAACCACGCCTGTTGCCCCTCTTGATACAACACAAGAAGCACCGGTTCCAACCGACCAAGGCCAGGACCATCAGGAGGGCCAGCAGAAGAAGAACCCCGCTCCGCGAATAGATATTGAAAACGAGCAACGAGCGAGCTCGGATCACAAGACTACCCCCTCAGGTCAATCAGGTCCGATCGTGAGGACATCTTCAACAGATCATGGGAATGTAGAGGAATATTTTACTCCGCATGAATCGTTACGGGAGACGAGTAGGTTTAAGCTTCTTTCACCCACAGACATGCGAAGTCGGCAGTCTGAGTCATCAAATGCGAACCAGATCGTTCATCGTCGATCTGAGCAGGTCGATGATCTAGTCCCCAGCCAAGCCCCCAGCCAAGCCCCCAGTCAACCAAGTGAAGAGGCTTCTTCACCCTCGACATATGAAGCCGCACCCCTGGATCGAACAGACTCTACTCAATCCTTAATATCCCATAAACAGCCAACTTCAGCAAAACTAATATCAAGGGGGTCTTCAAGGCGTCTCCAAGCACAATTATCCCACATTGATACCGTTCCCACGGGAGTGAGAGACATGAATCAGCGCCCAAGCGACCACCGGATGTTAAGTCGTATAGCCTCGGGTATGTTTAGATTCCAGCATGATGGGACCACTGTCGACACGCGACAACCCATGTCATTTAGAAAATTGCGGCCTCGAGAGATGCTCAAAGACCGAAGTCGAAGATTATCACACGCCCGCGATGGTGAAATCATTAGAGCCGAACGAATGCTGGTTCGAATTGATGTCACAAAACTTCATTCACTTCCCCATGATTTCAGTGAAAACAATAGCATCAAAATAGAGACGCGAACTTTCGAAAAGTGGAGGGAGTTCCTTGTTGTGTGTCGCCGGAGAGCTGATGAAGAGACTCCTATCACCTTACAGCTCTACAAAACTAGAGTGATTCCTCAGGTGCAAGTCTCCCAGGTGAAGAAGAGTTCATCCCATGAGATTCCCCTCACCTTTGGATTTACGAAACTCAACCTGTTTTCGTCCCTTGATAAAACAATCGTGCTTTGGCACCCTGATGAATACGGGACTGTGATGTACATCATACGAACGAAATCAGCGGCTCATTCAATGGAGTGGTACACATTTCTTCGCACAACCCTTGGATGGGAGCGTCCCACTCAACTGGTAGTTCATGTCCCTGACCTTGATATTGCCGTTCTCATCAATAACCCATTTTCTCGCTTAGAAAATGATCGCAGCCATATCGGCCAAGATGATGATGAGAGATCCTCTGCGCTTCTTAGGACTATGGCTGATGAACAGGAAGTTGCAGCTGGGATAATTAAAACCTGCATGAATACATTATCAGAGTGCCCTGAGTGGGCTTCTCTGCTCAAAGCATGGCTGGGCTCCGAAAAAATGGGTTTGGCTTGGCGAAGGTATGATAGGTTGGAGTGGGTGCATGGAGCAAATGAAGAACGAATGTATGGAACAATTGCGATGCAGACATCCCATGAGCTCGAACTACAGCCCAAGCGGCATTACCCCACGAGCATAAAACGCACAGGAGAAGAAACAACAGAAGAACCGTCCCCAGTTGAAGGATTCTTAATTTTGCTTACATCACAGAAAGGAAGACACCAGCGGTTGGGGAAAGTGTACTCTCGACGACTCTATTTCACCTCCCAGAATCAATATCTCTGCTTCTGCCGGCCAGCGAAAGCCACTCCAGCGCCTCCACCTCGATTACCAACTATTAACGGGTCCAATATTCCAAGTGCATCACAACTTTCCAAGGACGCTCCTATTATCTACACTATCGATCCGTATCCCCTTGAAAATAAAAGAATCTCGTGGCTTTTGAGTGGGGAGCAAATTTCTCGAGAACGGCACGATGCCGAAGCATACGCCGAGAGCAAAAGGAATCTGGAAAATCTGGAAAGATCTGAAGGCTACTTTGATCTTTGTCGGGTATTGGAAGTACGGATTGGTCATCAAAACCATTTTCCTGAAGAATCACATATCAATGGGGGTGATGTTGAATTCCACGACGAAGCGAGGGATACTAGACAATTAGACGGTCCAGGACATCAGCAATCCCAATCTAACCGATCGTTTGACTTGGTGATGAGTGACGGACTTATTGTAAACTTCCGTGCCTATGATATGCAGACAAGGAATCAATGGGTTGAGCGACTTTCCGCTCTTGTTCGATACTGGACTGCTCGAACTCATGACGATATAGCCATTATGAAATCCATCCGTCGGCAAAACCTAAAACAACTGAATATAACCGAGGGCCAAGAATCCAGGGTTGGGCAATTTGCGCAGAGCTGGGAGGTGTCTAAAGCACAGGCATCACCAGAGCTGTTCAACATGTGCGGGGTGTCGGGATGTCGAGCAGTTAAGGTAGGCCTCGTATCATTCACAACGGCTAATTAACCATGGCCTTAGCACAACAAGCTGACCCTCAACTTAGATGTCTGGTAACTTGTATTGCAAAATCCGTCGCCGCTCTGCATTCAGAGACTGCAGCGTGATCCTAACTGAAGGCCAAATTCTTACTTTCCAAAGCCATCTCCGTAAACTCTCTGGTCAAGAAATCCCGCATACTCATCAAGAACGCCAATGGGCCCTAGATCTCCGTGACTGTTATATATACAGTGGCCTAGTAACCAGCTCTGACCTCCTTTACCAAAATCACACCATCGACACTAATTTACCAGGCCAACGTGCTTCGCCTCGTCTCTATATCACCGATGGATGGACTTCGTCAGACGAGGATATAGCCACGTGCTTCGTGGTCTGGCACAATGCGCGGAAGACCGTTTTCCGCAGCCAGGAATGGCAAGAGAAGGGGAATGCCCTGGCACGGACGAAGTGGAAGCGGGTATCTGCCTTGGGAGTCTCAGGGAGATCTATCGTGTTCAAGGCGAGAAGTAGGGCTGAGCGAGATATGTGGGTGTTAGCTATTGAGACGGAGATTGATAGACTGCAGCAGCTGGAGGATATGCGGATTATTTCCAAGGACCAGTGAGCTACCTCTTTGTCGGTCACGAATTTCTCTTGGGCGAGGTGTTTCTATATTTTGTAGCAACAGACTGCGCTGAGAACGGAGTTTCTTTTCTTTTTCCGGGTGCATACACTTGCACTTTCAATCCATTCCGGGCTCGATTGGTTTTCATGTATGAGGATTGTTAGCCGCCCTCCGGATGCCTGCTTTTTGTGGGTGTACTCAACACCAGCGATATTATCTCATTGTATCAATACATCTCCATTTCTCAATATTCGATATTCAACCAGAGAAGAGGGAATTTCCATGAAGCAAAACGCATCTCAAGCCTAGCAGCTGGTAGGCCTAGCATTCCTTTCACCCTAAAAGAACAATAGGAATAATATACATGTACAGAAGGATATATAGAATAATATAATACACAGATCCACCACTCCCAAATATCCTAAAACCTCACTCCCCGTCAAAAGGCTTCTCAATTTCGACCGCATTCTCCTGGACCCTCGACCGCTTCCCCGCGCCCTCCCCACCTTTCCGCACCCAATCCTCCCACCTCAACATCCTCAGCCGCGGCCAAAGCACACACATTACCTGCCCCGAAATCAAAGTCATCGACACGGGGCCATACGTATTACTATCTATCGTCTTCTTTGTATCGTCCACATCCCCTTCGACCCACACATGGTTCCAGGGGACGATCTGTGAGCCATCCTCATTATGATCGCGCGGAACAACGCGATCGCCTGGAAGGGCTACTATGCGTTTTACGGCGGGTTGGGATGGGTTGAGGTGGGAGCTGTTTATATTTGGGTTGGTATAAGAAAACCAATAGACGAAAAGAAGAAAAGAAAAGTAAGGGTAGGACATATAGATATATTTATGTATGTATCTACTTACGGGAATGTAATGACCATCCCCCTCCTCAGGTCACTCGCCGGATTCCACTTCTTCACCAATATCATATCCTTGACTAAATGCGTCTCTTCATACCCCTCATTCAAATAGGGTTTCATTGACGACCCATTCACCCACATCACCTGCACGACGTGTTCGGAGAGTAAGAAAAGTCCGCCTACTGCAAGCAGGCCATAACTACCCCAGCGACGAGCTAATTTCCGGAAGATAGTGAAGCGAAAAGAACTGAAACTGCGGGGAGGTGGCTTGGGTTGTAACGAAGATGCTATCGTCTGCGGGTGATTTAATGATGGAGAACGGGAATCAGGAGAAGATGAGGAGGAGGAGGCAAGTTGTTCTAGGATTTTAGCGTATCCTGCCGGGTCGAGTTCGTGGCTTCGGAGGTTGGTTTTCACATATGTTTTGTCTGATGGGGCGTCATATATGGCGTGGGAATACGACAGAGAGGGAGATGTGGGAGATTGTGTTCCTTTCCTTGGCTTTGGTATAGATCCTTTGCTAGCGGGAGGGGGTTTGACAAGAGGAAGGCCTTGTTCGGGAGGCATGGCTGGGCTGTTGGACCCGGCGAGCTCAAGATCGGAGCGCTTGCTGTTTCCTTTGTTCAGGCCGTTGTTAGTGAGCGGGACTTGCCAGAAGGTTGGTTAGTAGTCAGCTAAGGGTATTGGGGTATAACAGGTGTTTGTGGGTGGGTATATGCAAGCTCAATGCGCGGCGGAGATGTCTTTTGCGACGGAGTATCGTCCGCAGTGACGATCTGGATATTTTCTGAGGTTCATTCGGTGTTTGCTTCGTTTGTTCTGTTTGCTTGGTTTGAGGGGGAGGAAAACTAGGGTTGGATCATATGACATCACTCGATATCCCATTCACGGGATATCGATGTCGCGGTGAGGACTATTTCCAGTGCATACAATCATTCTTGAAAATTAGATTTCTTTCTGTATTGGATATTGGCAGGAGGGTCTTTCTTGGTTATTTAATTCTCTCTCGATGTATTCATAGTTACTCCTGATAGGATCAAGACAGGACTCGTTGCAAGCAACCACTGAATAGTTATTGAGACTGAAGTGCAGTACATGAATAAAGATGAACAAACACAAAATGCTCCCAGCTTCCTAACGCCTAATACGCCTAATATTGCTCTGATCCATCCGTAAACCTTTAATGTTTTCCACATTAAGGGGTGAGCAATCATATGATGAAAATCAAAAGTTGGAAAAGTCAATACCAACCAGCTAATAAAAACAAAGAACGTCAGAACATTTGTAACCTTCGTCTTTCGTATATCGTTTCATTTCTTCCCCTCCATAAAATCGCTCTCCTTGAGGTCTGCAGTGCTGGATACAACGCTTTGGACTTCTGCAGAAGTAGGAGTATCGTCCAGTTCAACAGGCTCTTCATCGAGCCGCTCTACCGCTGTGTTGGTTATATCATCCTGGTCAACCTTTTCCCAGTCATCCTCACTCCTCTCGTCAACTTTGTCAAGAAATCGGCTGCTGGAATCATCGGAGCTAACTTTGACCTTTTTGGCATCCGGTTGGCCTTCTAGGGTGAGTTCTGAGGTGGGTGGATCAGGTAGAGTCGCTGCAAGTGTTGCTGGCGAAGACGAGGGATGGAGCGGTGCTGCAGTGGCCTCGTCCGTTGCCATTGAAAGATCTTGATCAGTTGGTGGGAAATACGCTCTGTGAAGTCTCGCAGTTAGTTCATATTTGAGTCGTAAAGGAGATTAACAAGGCAAACAAGCAAACCAGTCACTCACGGAAGAAGAGCACGGTAAGCATTTACATCCTTTGGTTCAAAAGTGCAAAAGATTACTCGTTCTGGGGGAGAAGATCTGGCTTCCAGGAAATGTTTGACGGCACGAATAGCCACCTCTGCTGCTTTCGAACTCGGATATCCGTACACTCCAGTACTGATTGAAGAGAAAGCAATGCTTTTCAATCCATTTTCCGCGGCGATCGTCAAACTGCGCATGTAGCAACTGCGGAGAAGCGATTCCCTATCTTCATCCGCCCAGTACATGGGCCCAACTGCATGAATAACTTTTCTGCATGGAAGGTTATAGGCATTGGTTATCTTAGCATCGCCAGTCATGCACCCTCCCAAGGAACGACATTCTTGCCAAAGACCACGACCAGCCGCACGATGGATTGCCCCATCAACACCACCTCCTCCAAGAAGAGATTTGTTTGCTGCGTTTACAATACAGTCAACCTCGAGCTTGGTTATGTCGCTGGTAATAAGACATATCGAATTATTAAGATATTGGGATGGGTTAGCAACGCAAGGACTTTTCGAGGGAGCCAAATGTTTAAGCTTGTAAAGGAGAGATAAATTGGGAATTTCAGATATTGGGATGCGAGAAGACGCCATGATGTGCTAGCAGCTCCGAAATACAGTCTCAAGTTGCAAAACTGAGAAAACCGAAAGAGCGTTGGCAGAACCGGAGCTCTTCTCTCTGTGACTTGAGTTCGGAATTGAGACCGTTCCAGACAAGAAGCTTGAAAACAGTTCAGTTGTTGAGAGCCACTTTTGTAGAGAGGCCAAAAGGCTCCTAGCTCACCCTTCAGCTGACGGGAGGAGCTGAAGCTGTTGGAATGAGTTCCAAGGGCCCGTCACGGCACGTGATTCTGTATGGATGGATCCGGTTGGATCATGTAAGCTTCCCAGCGACACAACATGATTGGCCCATTCAATCTTGACGAGCCACAGAACTCACATGATGTTTGATCCACGCACACACAGCTGAGATCTTATCTGATCTCGTATACAGAGATCGACAAATGGCATCTGGTCAGCCCCGCGGCATTCGTCCCCGAGAGATAACTGTTAAAGCAATTAATCTTTCTATACTGCCCATATATGGCAAAAAACTTAACATTGTCTCTCAAAAATGGACATCAAAATTCGCCCGGCAATGGAATCAGATCTCCCTCAAATGCACCCTCCATCTTTACCCACTACGTCCTAAATACAGTCATAACATTTCTCATTAACAAGCCCCCTCTCTCATACGTAGCGGATAAATTATACACTACACAAGATCGAGGGCTACCATTTCTCATTGCCGTGGAGCGGCCTGAAGGGGCTAACACCAGCAATGAGGGGGACACGCAGGAGAAAGTCTGTGGATATACACAGGCGTCCCCTTTCAGGGGCCAACTGCTTGCGTACGGGCCTTCCGTCGAGCTCTCCCTGTTCTTTTTGTCCATCCAGACTATCAGTCCCAAGGCATCGGAAGTAAGCTCCTCTCATCGTTGATAGAACTTCTGAAGGAGACGAAACATCGCGCCCGAGAATTTGCGGGCGATCTGGAGCATGAAGTCTGTATTCAAGACGGATTTCCGGTCAAGAATGTACTGGCTGTTATGGCTGTCGATGCTGAAAGGAAGAACGGGGGCGAAGGCTTGAGGGATTGGTTATGTTCAAAAAGGGTTTGTGGAGAGAGGAAGGATGAAGGAAGTGGGATTCAAATTTGGAAAATGGTAAACTTTATACATGCCCTTAAGGCCCTTGTTGTTGCTAAGCCAAGTAAGCTCAACAGATGATTACTCATTTCACTGATACTCTCCATAGGGTTGACACGATATATCTCCAGTACATCCTATAGTAGTAGTAGTAGTTGTTGTTGTTGTTGTTGTTGTTGTTGTTTATAGCTGTGCTAGATTGATAACAACTTGTTATCCTGGTGTCGATTAAAGCGAAGGGTCAAGAGAAATCAAATAAAAAATTACCTGGGTAAAATGTTCTTGTTCACCAGCCACTGCATATGGAATTATGTTGGCCCCTCTTTGACACAACGGCTAGCACCTTATAATTGCTCCTCCTTTCTCCTTGCTTGGATTGTCACATCTGGCGCTAATTCCCAAAATGGAGGTCAACCTTGGACTTCAAACATGTCATCTGTAAATCAACAGACCCATCTATGTCCATGTTGTACGCTGCTCTCTCGAGAGCGGACTCAGGCATATGAATTGACAGTAGTTAAAAGTCCGTCCTACGGGAGAACCACCAACAATACACTTCAACGAATGTGACGCACTCAAATTCCAAGCTTGTACCTTATATAGAACCAGGAAGATCTATCATTCACCGCGATGACACATGAGAATATACTTACACACAAATTGATATTTAAAGGGTCGAGCAGACTAACCGGTCTGCCCAGCAGATGGATTAGTTATAAATCCCCGTTCCTGTCAATCGATGCCTGTGTATCTCATGCAAGAACGAGACGGTGGTGACTTAAAAAGGCCAGACATTGGAGGTGTCCGACATCTACCACCCACTTTGAATTTGAATCTCCCACGAAGTTGAGGCTGGCGAGGGTCCGTTGAGTACGTCTTCTATGGGAAGACTCAAGTACCCCTTCTCACTTAATCGGCTTGAGCATGTGAGAGATATTTCTCTAGTTGGGGTCAGAGCTCAAAGGAAAAAAACAAAAAGGGGTGGGGGGAGAAGGGCGGATCTATGTGGTGTCCCGCTGCTAATTCGAGTGAAATTTGGTGATATGAGACTTTGACTGATTCCAAAACAAATCAGCTCAAGTAAACGCAAATATCAAATTGCAAATCAAATGGCATGATTTCCGATTTGCGAACGTCTCTCGAGATACATGACATTCTTTGGAAGAGAGGTTGCAAGGTCGTTGGTTTGAGGGGTTATGAAGATCAACTGAAAATGACAAATTTTGCAGCTTCACCGTTCGTTATCCGTCAAGAGTATTCCAAGGTTGTTTATGTTATGATTTGCTGACCCACGCATTGAGATTTTTCGGTCGGTTTCTGGAAATTGTTTCAGCCAGCCACCACACGATCTTACCACGTTGTGGTTGCGGGAGATCCATAGATTTATTCTCCGACATTTCCTCATTTCTTCTGGTAGCAAAGTCAAGAAATAAGATTACATTGCATATAAGGTATAACTAGAAAAAAGCCGACTGAAATTCCGTGTTTTCACTCCAGGGTGATAATATATTAACCGTTTAATAACCAGGGGTTGCAAAAGTGACCCTTATCACGGAGATTGGCGACAGAATTGAAGCCACAGTTGAACAGCTTGGATGTGGGCTGATGGAGAACAACATGCCTCAGGTTTACCTCAAAGCTGACGCTTAAGGATCTTTCTCCAGCTTCAGAATGCTTACCAAATGTCAGTTTCATTTCTCAGAAGCCTTCAGAAAGCGGAGAGCGTGACGGCACACATGCCTACATTGCAACAAATCGAGGACAGGATTGCCACGCGCTCCATAATTAGAGCGATACAGAAATTACTCTTTTCACATCTCAACGCTTCGGCATTTATCTGGACTATCTGTGCAATCCTGCAGTGTGAGCCCCTGATGTCAATAATTCTCTGCCAATTTGGTTTGCCTGGCTAAGACTTGAGTCAGGGTTAAATCACCATCAGTTTAAACACCTCCTGGAGATTGGCGGATCTTCTAATGGAATGAATTAACAAAGGTAACCTGGTGAGAAAGTCTATCGAGCCATGCCGTCACCATCTCTCGCTGGACCGTTGAATATATCTTACATAGGATATCATTAAACGAGTGACGGACAGAGTAATGGAAACCTGAGGAGACGTGTTAACTAGAAAACAGTTATCTAGTGATCTTGCTCTCATCCATGCAACGTAGGCAAGGATTCAGTAAGTCTACTGCGTATTTCCCTCGCTTCATTATTCTCCTGGGCTAACAATCATCCAGGCACTCACCATCAAGGCTGTGAGATTTTAATCCAACTCTCAGTGTGCTGGAACCAATACCTTCTCACCCACCTAAATCCATTCAGCTCAAGATACGATAATTGGATAAACAAAATAGAAAGGGGCCAGGCAAACATCCAGGAATCCAGAGTCAGCAGTACTTGAACAGGCGATCATCAAAGAGATCGAGCAGCTGGGTCTCGATCCACATCCTATTTCCACCAGCCAGGGATCAAAATCCCACCTGAATCACAATTCCTGATCCCCCTTCACAGCTAGCATCCTAGCCTTCCAAAGACCACAAATAGCGATTGCAAAGGGGATCACGGACCCAGTGTTTGTTATTTATTTCTTCCCCCAGTCAAGACACCGAGCTGAGCAATCCGTCACATGCGGTGTTAGAATTTACCGACATTTATTGTCGAAAACTTCGAGCCACCACAGACATGCCAATAAAAGAAACGAATCAAAGGCCACGAGCAACAAATGCCCTTCCAAGTTTGCTTCTCTTGTCCCAACATTCCTTATCCCTGTATCCCTGCGGAAGAATATGATGCTCCATTGTTCCACTTTCCAGTCCGCCAGTGGTGCGATGGCGAAATGACAACTTGTCTCCCCGGGGACCAATTTTTGCGCCTTTGGCCCACATGACTAACATAGCAATTGGTATTTACTTACCCTTCAACGCCAATGTAATCATTACAGGGGCTATCGTTTTCTGTCAAGATCTCCAAGGATGACACCCAGAAGATAATCCAACGGCAACTTTATTTGAGAATCGAAATATATGAGATTAAGTAAAGGCCAGAAGCCAGCATTAACTTCCTTTCTTCGCTTAGTCGGTTAGATTGATGTTGTGCTCCATATGTGGTGATATGCGAACCGTCATGTAAGTTGGCTCATGACACAGTCATTTATGTCACTCCACGGCTCTGCATTTTAGCGACGTGCTTTGGTGATAGAAAAGAAGAGGACGACTTAAAAACTATATTATTCGAAGTCATAGGTAGAGAGAGCTACAGGAATAGTCAATGACTGCATTGAAACAGTTAGTGGACACCTTCATCAGTGTTGCACATGCATCTCTAAATTCAGGGGCAAACGCAATTGAAGCTGAAGCTTGATTCTCCAAGGTCTTCATGCTTTTTTGCTCTTTCGTACTGGATCCGCGATACAACTCAAGGTAAAGATCCCTTCGTGTTCAAATAGTTCAATTGATAGTCTCCGACTTGCACCCCTGTTTGGAGAATTTCAAATACCGGCAGGTTTGTCAATGGAAATGAGTATCAAATATCCCTGAAAATGCAAATTATGGGTCACTCAAGGCGAGTAAAAGGAAACAAAATAAGAATGTTGACGACGAAACCAGGCTGGCGATTGTTTGGTTGCAAGTATTTTCAGTACTTTCACAATCGCCGAGGAGCCTGCCTCAAGCAACTTTGAGGAGATGTTAGTATCCGAAATGATTGCGATGCACCTGCACACAGAACGCGTTGGGAGTTATACGCAACTTACAGACTCTGTGCTTCTACAGGTTGAATATCTCCTTCTGTGCAACTGAAAAGCTTATATTTTATACAAAGCTTCAAAAGGTAGAGAAAGTACTTGACAGTTTTCGTGATACACAGTTGTTGGTTTCATATCACAGGCAGCTGTCACTCACGCTGTGAGATTAATCAATCACCACAACTTTCCGTCAATTACTGCCGTTTCCGATGACATGCTCGGATGATGTATGACGAGTCCCTTCTAGCACATGAGGCTTGTGTATGATGGGTGAATCGCTCACAAACTTATAGGCCGGGTTTCCTGCTGAATCTTGTTAAGAGCAAGGATGAGTGTGATTTGAGACTTGTAGCCCATGGACGTAACAAGGAAGCAATCGAGAGGTGTGTGTATACATACGTAAGTTGAGCATGTATTATTTAGTTGTGTATGTATTTAAACTCATCATGGTTGAGCAGGACAGCATGTAATAATACCACAAGGTGACGTTGTAGATCCAGTATGCATATAATACTCCGTGTGAGACGCCATGGGGTAATCTAAGGTAGCATTGTTGGTCACCCAGGTCAAGTTTCTGAGGGATCCGCCTCACCCAAGGTCTGATTGCCAAAATGTATCACTGTGCGTTTGCAGGCGTTAAAGAGATTTGCTGTCAGAAGTTGCAGCAGATTTATTTTTTGATTCAACCGGTTAACCTGGCAAATAACTAAAGGGCACCAGGAGGTGATCGCTCAGGAGCTAGCATTTTAAGAGGAGCAAAGCAGGTTTTGTAGACGCGGAAGAACGAAAGTGGATACATGCAAAAACATAACCAGCGAATGCACAACGGGAGAGTCTAGTTTTGACAGGAACGGGAAAGGATTGTATGAAGAAGAAATGAAATTCGTAATGCAATATCGGGAAGGCTGCAGAACTGATGACCTATGTATGGCATTTCCACCTCATTGGATCCATCCTGAACATACAGATATTAGAACTCCAAGTGGTGTTAGAAGGCGGATGAGATGCAAATAGTGATAAATCTTACCACAGCGCAAGATTGGTGCCATGTAGCATAAACTGCGTACGCCAACTACGTCTAGCTTGTGATATCCTGTCCATGAATGTCAGAGGTCATACTGAAGTCCTCATACATATCAACAAGCTCTGCTTGCTCCCGCAATTTTTTTTTTCCACAGGTCATCTCATGGCGAGGTTCGGGATGGTCTCCAGAGACCTGGCTACCATGAATGCCAAATATCCTTTGAACGTCCCACTGGACAGGGATCTCCCAAGTGTCAACTCCCCTTGCCAGCCCAACCCTTGAAAACTGATCATCTCCACCTTTGCAGTAGTTCCTGAAATCGCCATTGCGGATCTATGCGAGAAGTCAGCTCTCTCGCATGAATATTTGAAAACATCGAAAAGACCTTAGCCCGAAACGGATTGAAACCGGCAAGCCAATATCACGGCCCTTCATTGCCCTTCGTTGCCCGTCGTCGTTCTCGATACACATTGGAAGAAGCAAACACTTCGGCCCCTGAAATTTTCAATTTCACTCTTCCCCGTCGTTTACTCTGATCTCCACATTCCCCCAAGAACCGCTCTCTTCGTCTCCCCTAACATAGAACAAGAAGTTCTGTCCTTGGCACACAAAGTTTGACAGGGGTAAGAAGTAAACAGACCGGGACATCCAGGTATCTGATGATGATTTTGGCACAGTGCATATGTTTGCATACAAATCGGAGAGTGTTCCATCTTGCATATCCTATTTTTGGCACCCTAGGTAACACGCCCTGGATGCTGCACCTTCGCTATTCATCCTCTTCATTCCTCTAGTATGACCTCGTCACACCAAGCAATCCAAGCAATCAGTCGGGACGGATGTGACAGGCGCGGGGGCCGGTGTGAAATTGTGGCGTTGGGGACAAATCGTCCCTGACTGATGAGACCAACTGAAGGAGAACCAGTGGGTCGTACCAATTTCCCTATCCTTGATGCAGAACCACCAGGAGATCTCGATTTTCCAACCGTGATATCTCAAACACACTGGAAGTTTGGAAAATGAGAAACCTGAAAACAGGAAACAGATCCCGGCAAGAATGTAACCCACTTGTAACGGCAAAACAGACCAACACGATCTCGGGAAGCCTGGTAAGAAATTAAAATACAGAAAAGCGGGAACATGTTGACGATGGACATGTCCACACACGCCACTTGCTTGCTTAGAAAACCTCCTCATGACAAGCCCAAGATTAAATATGGGGCCAGCCCACTTTTGTGCTCCACATCGGCATTTCACTTGTCCCTACAGCCAGTCCGCATCAACAGTTGCAAGCTCGGCACTAGGGCTCCCCTTGCTAATCCTTGCTGGGCAAAAGTCTGGTCTCCGAACAGATTATTCCTCCTCGTCATTCTTGATCAGACCCCCAATTCAAACCCAAGAAGAAAGGCGGGGACTGACCCTTTCCTCCTCTTCCCCCACCCATCTTAGAGCTATTCCCCATACACCCGTTCTCACGCTACCATCCCAGGGATCCGGCAAGACATGTTCAAAAGTGCCGCGAGATATATCATGACTAAAGTTTCGGGATTTGGCCGATTGAACCACGAACCCACGATCAACGAGCCTTTCATGTAACGGAAGATTTTCTCTATAAGATGGTGAAGCGGCTCTTCTCATTGGTTCGGGGTGTGCTTTGGCCCAATTACAGCCTCAGTATTTCCCATTTTTTGGACACTGCGGGTCATCAAAAGCAGGAGGAAACATTGCCTGTATCATCTAGATCATCGAACCCCTAGCGTAGGTTTGATGTTGAACTGAAAATAGATATGTTGACAAAGTTAAGGAGAGAGAGAGCGGAAATACTTGATTCCGCAAACCAACTGCCTAACTGATATAGTGTTGATCAACCTTGGAGTCATCAGAGGATGCAAAGGAGGTAGTTAACTAGTTACCTAGTGAAAGAATGAATCCTGTTAACTAAAACATCCTGTGTACAAAATCTGTTGGGCAAAAACTTCAACGCAAGCTATCGGAGCTCAGTTGCGTGAAAATGAAATGTATCCATTTGAAGGTTAAAGCTCGACGATTCATCACACACTCTGAAAGCCCTGACTACCTGAAGTAACTCAAAAGATCTCGGGTCCTTTCTGTACAGGACTATATATCCTTGAGCTGCCTCAGACATGAGTCTTCAGCGCATTCTCAGCGGTTGCACTCCAGTTTCACATGGACCTTTCTGTCAAGTAAAGGGTAACTTTGGGGAAAGGGGGGAAAATATCGCAAACATCTTGATCTGTGTCCTTGTTGGAAATACAGCAAGATAGATGCCCACTCAATGAGACAAGATTAACCATTAATTACAATGATGAATAGTTACGCATTACGACCACATGAAATACATGCACTCTGCCATTTAATCCCATCCCCTTGTGGGCGGAAACTTGAGAAGCCACTCCAGTGAATGACAATCCTTATATCCTCGAAACCAGGGGTGTAAATACACAGGAGAAGGGAAGGTTACTAGACAAAGTCTACGAACTGTTCGACCTAGCCTCGATTCTATCCATGCTTCCCTCGTCTGCAATCTTGATGTGTTCCTCTCTGCCAACACCACGTAGACAAAGCAGTGGAGGATTTTGCCTGCAACAGATGTTGTTGCATGGCTTCCAAGGTTTACACAGACATTATCGGTCCAATGAGCAAGCAGCTTTGAATTCCCAGGTTCTCCCTGCACTTCATCATTTTGCGTATCGGAGGGTTTTCTTCCACCTTGATCAATGATCATGGACTGACCCTCTACAGTTCTGGAGGGTCCCATATAAACTTGAATGTAGCACCGATAAACAGCGGTAATAATATGATATGTTCTGTGCTTGTTGCATCGCGGCAACCCTCACTCCAGATTGACAACAACACATGGGTGACCCGGGTGACCCATAACCACGAAATTTCCGACTTGAATAATTCGAGGAGCTTCCAAGAACCCCCTGCTGGTTTCTCTTGACAAGATAGGTTTATTTAGTTACCACAGTCGCCAAAAGGTTTGCCTATCAGAAGGGGCATGGGTTTGGGGGCTGCTCGGGAATTACATATCCATGCAAGGAGTCCCGAGCGGGTAAGAAAACTCAAGTTTGTAGAATGCAATGCGTTCAAAATCCAAATCAATATTCAGGCACATACAATTTTTTTTTTTTTTAAAAAAAAAAAAAAAAAAAAGAAAAAGAAAAAAGAAAAAAAAAAGGTTTCCTCAGCGAGAAACTGCACCGATGACCAGCTTAAAATGAATAGTTAGTTAGCTGAAATCGATTTATGGCCGGGAAGTAAGCATTTGTGGCCCCCCCGCCCCGTGTTGCTTACCCTGTTCGCTAAGATTTCTAGAAGATATTTCATCTCCGATGAAAATCCCCTGCTCCACCATGTCCATCCACTTCAACCCTTTTGTCAACTTTCAAGCCTCATGTTTTTGAGATCTCACCTCCTGCATCTTAAAATAGGACGAAGATCACCGACCCCATTGCTTCAGCCAATGAGTACCTGTGCATAATTTGTTTTTTCGGTATCACAGCATCAGAGAATGGCACAAAACAAACACACAAAGAAAAGTGCCAATTAACATTCCGCTGCGCCAGGGGACGTCGAACATGGTAATGTTGTGGAATGTAACTATTGCTGAACATGTGTAAAATCCACATAACGTAAAATCATAAAAACACACTGGGGTATTATTCCCGTATCAACCGTCAATGAACTAGACTCTCAAGTTAATTTATCGGGTTCTTTAGCGCTCTTCAAAATACGAGAGGTTAATGCGCCAATCGGTCAGATCGAGATAAGGATCTTGATTATTCAGATGGTGGGTGTAACAACGGCTGCTTGCGTCCAGTTATGCGGGAGGGCTGATGCGGCATTGCACAGGGTCGTCATATTCATCCACACAGCTCTCCTCTGAATAATAATAATAATAATAATAATAATAATATGTACCTGTGCAATTGCATCTCTGGGCACCCATTTCCCTATCATTCGATTTGTTTCCGGAGGCTCGTATTCAAACTCGTTTTTTAACTTTCTGTACGTTGCCGCTAATTTTCCTAGCCACCACTTATTCTTCAACAGGAGAATTAAATGATGCAACAACGGCTTTGCGATGACATGCTGTTCATGCATGCGTTCCCGTCATTATATCTTGCGGACATGTACGGAGTGCAGTACGGAACATTTCAACCATACATGAAGATGGGCAGGCACATACAATCTTGCTGATTGTACAGGGGGCATCATCCATCTCAGATCAGAATAAAACTGAAATATAAAACCCATTGCCCTTAGCTCGATGCGGGAAGCTTATCTGGGCAGGGGGGAAGAAGGACGAGGAAGATGGCGATGTTTGAATTGCGATCTTCCAATGCACTATTATATCATTACTGGGAACCTCAAAGAAACTTCGATCTTGGCTGGGGGAAAGCGTGAAGAGTTGTATGCGGAAGTGCCTGTTCCGAGTGCTGCATTATTGGTCGAGCACAGGACGGAAGGACTGGATGAGATCAATATCTCCCGCACAGACGTGAATTCTAGAGGCAGAGAAAACCAGGAAACAAAGAAAGGATTGAAAGGTGAGTTTATTTGCAACAAAAACTCTTGCTTCCTTTTCTTGGAGGAACTGAGTTTCTTGAGATTGTGATACAGAACATCTTTCACAGCACATGATGATTGATTGTGGTAAAGGAGCTCATATCGTGTAGCTATCAAATCATATCTTATATGACTAAAGCAAAACTTCCCAACACATAACCAGTGAACAAGAAATCTCTATCTTCAAACTTTGCTTGCAGATAACGCTTTGAACAAAAGATTGCATGTAATACTAAATCATATATCTTAATTGAGGCTCCTGTGCAATGAACATTGAGATCTTAGGGTCTCAACACTCAATTTTCATCATTTCCCCCTCTTCTATGATAGACGAGATAGGTCTATTGGCTATTGGTCTATTGATGAAAACGATTACCGATTGGTTGCTCAGCACATGCAAAAAATATATATATATATATTTAAGACAATAAAAAAATAAATAAAAACAAAACCAAAATTAAACTAAAAATAAACATAAATAAATAAAATAAATAAAAAGGGACCTCCAATGACCCTGCTTTCCAGCGAGAACATTGGTGGTCTCCAGCTTCTCGGTTGCTTGAACCAAAGCCCACGAGAGCAGCGACGGGAAGGTCGTTGCCCTTGGGTTGGCATTGCTTGGCGAGGCCACTTTCGAACCAAGTTGGACTGCATTACTCCGTACAGCCATGCACGAACGATGGTTCGGAATATTTTTTTGATGTGCATATGACGCGACCCAGATTGAATAAAGTGCAACTTTGACCGGTGGCACCCGGATTGCCCTTTGGGATCGACCAGACCAATGGCCAGGCTGGGTTGCTTGAGTGGATGGCAGGTGAAAGGGAACCAGAACGCATTGCATTACATCAAAACAAAACACAAATCTTGCGTGAGACAGGTCATAACTCGGGATTTTCGGACCGCAGACCGCGGCGATGGATTTTCCGTGAGGGTTGTACATGTGGCGCCAACCGTGTTGGATGTGATACATGTTTCAAGAAAAGTCAAAATGTGACAGGAAGGTTGGCCAAGATGACGAATGGAAACCGTTTAAGCGTATACAACCGTCGTCTAGATCCCCATTGTTCTGAGGGGGGAACTTATCCCGTGCCCACCCCTTGATCTTACCGCCACGCTTCCTTTGTCCCGCTCTCAAATTTGAGACGAAGCAATGTCGAAAAAGTCCCACACCAAAGAGCTTAGAACCGTTGAACAGCTCACTTTCACGATCGGCAGTTTGTATTTCTTTTTAGAACCCGTTTAATTTAAAAGACAAACCCCAAAGAAGACAGCTAACTCGTTATGATTACGAGAAAAAGGTCCTAAAACAATCCAATGACTAAAGAACAGGTTTCCATGGGCGAGTAACATCCATCGTATCAAATTTTGAAACTGGGTCTCGAAAGTCAAAAAAGGCTTGACGACGGGATATTTCGATTAAAGTTCAACAACGTGTTGACTAGAAAATCAAAATACATGATTGAACAAATAAACTGGGATGATCTCTGCCTGCAATAATCTTGCAAAGGGGGTTCGTTTCTTTGAGGACGGGCGAGTGGATGCCAAAAGCAAGGGAGGGGCTTGCCAAGATACGGCGAATCAGCAAAGAGGCTGCGGGGCGGATCGATTTTGAGTTTCGTTTCATTATTTAGCATGGACTCTGGGCTGCGTGGCTAACCCTGAACAGCTTTTAGAATCTGTGGGCGTTGCCAAGTGCGGGTCTTATATTGTCTCCTGTGGACCGATGCAATGCTACGATCGGATGGTGGCTTGCACATGTGGTTGTAGGCACATCGGAAAAAAAATGGAGTATCCACGCTAGGACATTTATCATCATCTACTTTCTTCCACTTCTAAGATGATGATGATGATGATGATGATGATGATGATAATAATAATAATAATAATAATAATAATAATAATAATAATAATAATAATAATAATAATAATGATAGTAATAATAATGATAGTAATAATAATGATAGTAATAATAATGATAGTAATGATGATGACGATGATGATGATGATGATGATGATGATGATGATGAGTGTTAGGAAAAAGAACAAAGCCCATTGACCGCCGAATTAGATCTCATGTTGCCGCAAGCCCCTTTCATGCGGTTGAATACCTTGGGTAGGGAGGCGATCTAACTAAAACTGACCACTCCTCATACAATGGGCCCATGTTTCATACTGTGAAGATACAGGAACAAAACATTTCAGACCAGCATAATCACAATAATTAATAATGAACTAAGATTAAATAACTATTTAAAGAGATTTGAACTATTAGCTACCTTCCTACAGCGGAGATGGGATATCCCCTAGGAGCAGCGGTCAAGGTTCATTATCATAACTCGGATTGGGGACCAAGCAAGGATCTGGCATCGACAATCTCATCAGCTGTTGCAGAATAGCTTATCTATAATCACCGGATCGTAGAATAGAATTGAAACAAGCCAACCATAAAATTGTGAACCCGATTCGAGGCTTTCATAGATCCAGAGATTCCATGAAGGAACATGAAAGAAGAACATCAAAGAGCAATGATGCTTCAGCAGCATTCAATGGTGGTTTTAGATTAGGAACTCAATGTGTGAAATTAAAACTTACCCGGGTACGAGGGATCCTTGGATACTGATACTGGATACTGGGTACTGGATACATTGGATACACTGGATACTGGATATACTGGATACTGGATACTGGATATAACTGGATACACTGGGCACACTGGATATACTGGGCACCGGATACTGGATACTGGGTGCTGGGTGCTGGATACAACGATACTCCGTAACCTGTACTGTAAAACGGGTACAGTACACTCAGTACAGCCATCGGGGCTAGACCAAGAACACCCTAGCCCGATCTATCTCCGTACTGTGCGATGGGCCATGGGCTGACCCAGATTGCGCTAAACTCGACTCGCCCCGTGTCCCCACGGCCCAAGGACCGCAACCGCCGGCCGGCGCTTGGGCAATTGGCAACGGGCTATCTCTTTCTTGTCTTGAAGATGTGAAGGCGAGAGCAAAAATTGTGGAGCATCAGCATACAGTTCGTTCTCGGAGACATGGAAGACGACTCTCTGATGGGCATTCCCATGTTTCTTCGTGGGATTTTTTCAGCTGGGGAATTAATTCTAACCATGATTTTGTTCACGTCTCAAACCGAGACCTTGATCCCAGGGCGTGCGTTCTCTGGAATGGAAGAGAGTAACTCGAATCCTATTATTGGTCTCATTGGGGGGAAAAATACCTTTTCCGGGTCGATCAGGAATTTGGAAAATTTGGTACCGCCAGGGAAATGAACCGTCCGGGCGGAAGGGGGAAGAATGGGAAGTTTTCCTCCTTCGTCAAAACTCCTCATAGATCAGGATTTGTTGGTATTACAGATCACTGATTCAATGCCCACCTCGCTTACAGAATCGGGCATGGCGCGCCCTTGGTACCCTCTCTCTCAAACAAGTCGACAATTCGCGTTTCTAAAGTAACCGGCTGATCCATGGTCCCGACAAAATCTCTATCCACCAGGATCTTGTTTACATCATTATTCTTTTAAGTTCCACCAGAGGCTTCGATGATTGTGGGATCTTGGATCCTTTATTCCTTCGCCAAGTACGAAAGGTCGGCTATCAAAAGTTTTGACTCGCGCTAGAATTTCTCTTGTCTCCTTAGCCAACTAACTGCCTAAAGTTTTTTACTAACTAGTTAATTTTAGGCATAAGATTCCCCAACATTTCAATTTGGATTAAACGAAATTTTAGCACGAGTCAAAACTTTTTGATAGCCGACCTCCGTACTCCGTTCATGTAATACAAGATACGTTCGAATTAAAAAGCTCTGATACGCCACGACAAAGGACTACAAAGGCTCCTTTTTTCTATTTAAAAAAAAAAAAAAGAAAAAAGAAAAGAAAAGAAAAGAAAAAAAAAAAAAAAAAAAACCCTCTCGCTTCAACCAGAGCTATTCTTTGGTAATCCCTGGTTTCGGATATTTCTTCTATCACCGGCAACAAAGGGGGAAATCAAATCGACTTTAAATGAAATCATGGGCACATACATACCTGGTCAGCCAAGACCCTGTTCCAAGCTTTCCTTCCAGAAACTCCGAAGGGACCCCTACCTGTTGAGACCGGGAACCCCCTGGCGAACGGTTTATGCCACTTGATGCGGCACCTTGCAATCCTGGCCAAGTTTTCTGGTCTTGTGAACTGGCGCCAAATCTTTGATATGTTTTAGTGTCTCCGCCATCACCGCCAATCCTTGCTGTCTGGCCGTTGAAAATGGTGCTACATTACTACGTATGGTGGTTGTCAATACCGGTATTCGTAATTTTCGTAGGATACTTCCGTACTAAATATGCTAACTATAGAAAAAAATATGTGTCATCTTGATACATGTGAATTTCGTCGATCTACGGTATGTTGTTGACCTGAATCATCCAATGATTCGTTTCCAGAACAGAATGTTGGGACTGCTATGGGCATAAAGAACAAGGGCTGATAATGGAATTACAGCGCATTATTTTCAGCATTTTTTATGCTTACTGTTGATAAGATATCATCCAAGCTTGTTCAAGCCACTTCCTACAGGCTGGGAGCTGGGATCTGGAATGGCATTTTGCCATTCAACAGAACTTCCTCGTTCCCTTGTGCTGTCCGAGACACCTCGCTTTTCCGTAAGAGGCATGGCATACGATCTATCGATCTCCACGCCGGGATCGATTATTCGACCATGGTATCTGCACGACCTCTTCCAAGCGATGATTCGATATTCAACACTGTCAAGGCGCTTTCGCTTCACGAGATCCCTGTCTCCCACCTCAACCTTCCAAGCAGCCACACCGGAGCAGGCTGCAGAGCTAACTAACCACGCCAATTGGATTGACAAGGGCGGAACCCCCATTCAGCTATCCCAATTCTATTAGATTCGCCCGAGCAGCAACCTGCACTGGTTCGGTTGGAGGGTCAACCGATTTTCAAGGCAGAACAAGAAAACGGGCTGCACCTAACTTCAAAAGGTAGAGTAGTAGTGGTAGTAATAATAGTAGTAATTTTATGTATGCACCATGACTTTTTGCTGCGATTTGTTCAGCGATTTTATGGTTGGGTTCGGTTTTAAGTGTCATTCTGAAGCTGAGGACCCGTAGAACTTTAGCAGACGAAAACTATAACGGTGCATCTTCCTTAATAAACGACTCGGTAGGAAATGGGACTATATTTTGGTAGCGAACTTCGCTAATGACTCGACCCAGGATTTGCTTTTTTGTGTATTCGGACCCTTGTTAATTTTGTTGCGTTTTTTCTTTTGATATAGGGCTGTCTTTTGATTCCCAGGACGGGTTTTCATCATCGATACAACATTGATTTCCATAACCCACACAAACAGCAAGAGGAGGAATGTATTTTCCCCATGTTTCAAACTATAAAATCTCCGGGTAGTTTAACTGCGCCAAAAGGCACCAAAATAAATAAACAAACAAACAAACAAGTAAGTAAATAAATAAATAAAATCAAAGTAAAATCAGACAAACGTACAATTTCATAGTCCCGGTAAGCTGTGGTGGGTTGATGAGCGCGCGTGCGCGAGAGAGAGAGAAGATCCACACCACTAATACTCTGGTTAAGTTGATAGATATGCTTCTCTGTTCATACCCACTGACTAGCAAATTTAGGTTATCAAGGCCAAAACTTCACTAGGGGAGCTGGGACATCGAGCGCCGAATCAGTCGTTGCCTCGAATGACCTCATAGCCAGCGAGTATCCATACTTGATGGATGAGTGTTTTTCTTACGTGGACAGGACGGCGCGCTGGGGCTTGGTTTGCGTGTACATACAATACTGGGGGAGGGGATTTGGTGGGTGGGATTACGCTGGGGTATATTACCACCCATTATTACAAAATCCATCACGGCTCCAGTGCATAATCATTCCATACCCAGTTACCGTATGCCCAATACGGTACGCCGTATACGCACTTCAAGTACCCAGCTCCCAGCTCCCAGCTCCCAGCTCTCCCAGCTCCCAGCTAGAGAAGATAACAAGGTACCACACACGCACCATTCCATTCTGCCAGATCTGCTGGTCCACCCTCTGCTCCCCATCCAGAGTTCAACGCTGCTCCGACTTCTTTTTATTCCCCCGTCCTCCCACCCCCCTTAACGCAGCCCCCCCTCACCCCCCTTAACTTCCCCTGACCTCTCTTGACAAGAGTCTCCCTTGCTCCATCGCTCAGTTGTCGGGTGTGTGGGTGTCCTTTTGCCTTGATTTTTACACCCTATCGTTTCTCCGCCTTAATTGAACGTCTCATTTCTGTGTGTGGAGTCGAGTCATCAAATCTCATACTTCCACTCTTTTTGTCTGTCGCCGCCCTGTGTATCCAGAGACCCATAACATATCCGCTTCCCCTCTTCCCCTCCCCCCCCTCTCCTCTCTCCCCGCCTTGCCCCGTTCCTCATCACGACTTCCCGGTCCGACTAGTTCCTAAATACGTCGTGTGCTGATCAGGTAGATTTCCAGCCGGGGGTTTAAAAGAGTAAATAGGCGGTCAGGGTTATTTAATTATCAGGTCTCGTTGAACGGGACAGGGCACAGAAAGGAATGTTGTTGCACGTATTTGATGGTCTGATCTGATATCGATCCGCTCCCCCCCTCTTCTTAGCCCGCCAAATCAGTTTTGCAATTTTCATCTCTTCGCTGTCTGTGAACTCTTGGAGGGTATGAGGACGTCTCCCACACTACCAATATCGGCCAGCAAATCTCAGATCACCCTAAGATCTCAAACGTCTTAACCCACCGATTGCCCACTATTCAGGACGGCAACATATTTTTATAGCATCCTCTCGCCACTTACTTTTCTTTTTTTTATCTTCTTATATCTTATTCGACCTAGAATCTTCCTTTCTGCAGGGGCGGAAATAGGAAAAATATCTTTTTTAAGATTTTGATGCTGAAGGGATTATTTGCTATTGCTTCATTAGAGGTGTTCCCAAACGTGGCCTAGAAGACCTAGGAGGCTGGTCTTTCTATTTGTTGGATACCATCCTGATTTTGGAGGCGATTGGACTTGGACGGCTCGCCGCAGTGTCCGAGACGGCATCCGGAGATTAAGAAAGTGAAGCTTTGCAGTCCTCCTTCTGGGAAGAAGATAATTTTTTTTTTTTTTTTTTTTTTTTTTTGGGGGACGGGAACTTGGGTTACCGGTTGTGCTCTCTGGAAGTGTGCCAAAATAAAATAAAATAACTACAGGCAACATGGGGACAGTGGAATCTGCCAGGGATTGGTCCGACCATACGGTTTCAAGTCCGCTGGCGAACCCGCACCAATCATCGGGACAGGATGTTGAAGGTATCAGGGAGCAACGGGACAATTATCATATTGGAAATGCGTCTAGAGAGTTGCTGCCGTCAATTGCACATTTAGATTTGGAAAATAGCTCCAGGGCTGTCGGCAGGGCATCTGCTGATACGAGACGTCCTGGAGAAGATAAGGACCAGAGGCCGCACAACCAACCTCTGCATATTCCTCAACGACAATCCCTTCCCTCAATACATGAAGCGTTAGGCTCCGCCCCCTTTGGCTTGCCTTCCAATTCTTCCTCAGCCAAACCGGGGACACTACCCACTTCCATATCGCCAAGCGTCGCACGTCCTTCTCTGGACGGACCTTCTGGGCCCTCCAATCCATTTTCAAGTGGCCCTGGATATTTCTTACGGGATAACCCTTTCGCCGCACACCAGACACTTCAGCGTGGACAAACTCAGACCGAGGCCTCTCCATCGAGCCTAGCTTCAATTCACTCCCACGAATCTCGCAATCCATCGATCCTGTCGCTAAGCTCCGGCAAGTCACCCACTCAGAGCTCTAAAGACGGGGCTCCATCACTGTCAAACTCCCAATCTTCCGTCTATGAGCTTGTTGGGGCGTCTTCCGCAGGTCCAATGTCCTCTCCGACTAATTATACGACACCGTACCCTCCAACAGCTCCATATGGTTCACAGTTTCTCAATGGTTCATCTTCGCTGCCATACTCATCTGCATCTTACGACATGCGGGCTTCCTGGAAACAACACGCTATTGATCCGGCACGGATGGAGGATGTGCAAAGCACTCGATCCAGTGCTGGTCCTGGTTCCCACATGGACTCTGGTAAACGGCATCTTGAAGGTTATGATGTGGAAATCGTCTTTAACGAGGTACGTGTCTAGATAGGCTGTCCTTCGTTTCAGCACACCGCTCGCTAACTCTAGCAGATTATCGAACGGAGCAGCGCAGCAATAGAATTTGCCCGTCATTTCAGTGCTAAAGCACACCAAAATAATCGATCTGTGCCTGCAGCAGGATCGATGCCCCAGCTATCAGAGATCGATGAGCTTGCACAGATTATCCGAAAGTCGGCTGAAGCCTTGGACAAAATTCGATGTTACGTCGTTGAACAAACGCTGGCTGAGCAACAGGCAGAACAACGAGCACAGACAACAGTTTACCAACGGCGTGGGCCGTACAATGATGACCAAGCGGCCGTGTACCGGGAAGATTTCAAAGGTGGTGGAGGCGGTTTTGCGGGCGGCGATTCCAAAAAACGACGAGGGGTACGTGAACTCTCTCTTACGACTCTCCACCGCCCACCTTTAAATCCATATCTTATCAGAATGGAACAACAGTTCTAATGGTTTCCTTTTACTCTCTAGAAAGCTGCCCCACCGGGTCGTTGCCACAGCTGTAACCGAGCGGAAACCCCGGAATGGAGACGCGGGCCGGACGGCGCGCGAACGCTTTGCAACGCCTGTGGCCTACACTACGCCAAGTTAACCCGGAAGTTGGCTGGCAGTAAGCCTTCCTCGCTGGGATCAAATCTGAGGCCAAAGAGCGGAGCTGATCCCAGATCACCAACAGAACTTTAGACACTGCTATATACTGCATACTTCTTCCCGGGGTGTTCCATTGGAACAGACGTCGTTGATACTGAAGATTATTCTATTTCTCATCTTGGACTCTGTTCTAGAAAAACAAGAAGTTGTTGACACCTCCTTTCTCCCATCCTGATCATGGCTTCACTCCATTGCTTCCACTCCCAAAAGATTTTAAAAACCAAGCTGCAATGATTCTATTACAGCTTTGTTGTGCCTTTATATATAAAAGAAGTTATTGGATCTCTTTTGTTGCCTTGCTCCTGCCATAAAGTTTGGCTCTTAATTATGAAGTTCATTTTCTCCTTTCATCAGGAGGGAAACTGGTCATTTGAGAGGGTGTCACAACGTTCCCTTTTTTTTATTATTTCCCCCCCCCCCCCCCCCCCCTTGTATTTTCAAATCAGCTTGAAAGTTCTCTGCCCCGGTATAAACTGGAAAGAAATTGTTCCGCCCTTTTCTTTTTTTCCTTCCTGGTTTTGGTTTCCTTTGGGAAATCCTTTTTGAAAAAAGGTAATTGGAAGGCAAAAGCGACATTTTTCTGGAATTTCTTCTCCGCCCCCCGACCTAATGGGTTGGGGGGGAAAGAAAAACAAAAAATATTAAATACTTATTACACCTTTTTTTCCCTAAACGCTCCTTTTTCTCCCCCATTTTTCCATCGGCATCATATCACAGGTGAAACGTGCCCCATTTTTCTTAATACTTCTTAAAATCTCCCCTCATATTACACCATTGATGAACTCGAATCCTTGAGTATTGGTGTGACTGAAAAGAATCCCCCTATTGGATTTTGATATTCTTCGATATCATTGTTTTTAGGAGATTGAGATTTACCTTCCAATTCGATATATATATAATATTATTGCCCTGCTGTGATTTGGCAATAGGGAATGGATCGAACCCCCCATTACTTTGAGAACTTAAGAACTGTCCGATAGCCTCGCTATTATCTTTGAATGCTTAGCACCTATTGGATCTGGGTGTTATTCGCCACGCTGAGCTTGCGCGTCCCCCCAGCTCGAAAAGCAAAAGCGACCAACCAGGTGTGTTATGTAGCTGTTATACAGCAGGAAAAGACGACGTCATAGTATCAAAAAGATCCAACATGAAGCAGCAGGGTAAATGGTATTCTTCTGTAAAAACATATTGGTAAATAACGTCATGACGTTGATTAGTTATGGTGTATTTTCTGCTCTGGTAGCAATATGCTACGAGAAATGTAGGAGATTTCTCCATAAAAATAGCACCCCAACACAGCTTCTGGTCTCTCAGGATGACGTTCATGAAGCTATCGCGAGCATAGGCAGACTTGGAAGGACCAAAACTCTTTTTAAGGGCAAAACACCCTTCTAACTCCTGCCGTATGCCTGGCATGTACACATATATGATATCATGAGAGGCCCGTTTGATGTTCAACCGTGGTGTGGTAAAGTTGAAAATCTCGATGACACCAACAAGGCCAGGCCGGAGATGTCAATGACGTCAAGCCCCTTGAATGCTGAGACGAAATGTGAGCGATTTCGTTTTAAGATGTAGTTTGGGATAGATGAGTCATTTGGTCCCAAAACCTTCATCGTTTCCAGAAAAGAAGCTTGGGAAATGAATGTTTTGTGTCTGGGGGGAGTCCAGCGCGTCGATTACCTCACCCCACCACCCCTCTCCCTTTCGCCCCCCCCTCCTCCTCCTCCAAACCCCAGGCAGCAAAGATACAGCAGACATCAGAATACAGTCAGGCACAAGCAGAGCAGAATCCAAGGGAAACATCTGCGGAGAACTAGCCAATCAACAAACGCCCTAAGAAGGCTCTCTCTAGCACCGTCGTCGAAATGGTAGTGGCTGAATCGCAGCACCGTGGACGCCCACCCTCGTATAGAGCATGGCTGTCAGGCTATGTTAAGTCCAATTTGAGAACTATCCAGTTAACTAACAACGAAGTCGAGCGTTGAATAGTTTACTGCTTCTCAATCCGGGATTTTAGGCTGCTCGATTCTTTTCTTCCTTGAGAGGTATAATAAGTAATACAGCAAAACTGGACCTTCTGGACAACATTTCTTCATCCTTAAAAAACTATTTTATTACACTGATGTTCTGACACTATTTTTGTCTAATTGGATTTATTGATTTATTTTCAATATTGCCCTGGGCGAAATCAATACACAAGAGTTTCCGTCTTTGGCATTTCCTCAAGGTGTTATCCTTCGCAGTGCTACATCCATTAGTTGATCCTCAGGGTTTTTTAATTTATCAACAAATACACAGGACCAGCTATGTACCGGAATCCATTCGCGGGCTACGTACCGGAATGTGGTTGTTGGTTTTTGGGTCCTACTTCACAAAGAAATCTTCTCCCTCAAGTTGATCTTAAAGTTCATTCCACCATTCTCTCCGCCTCTTCTAGAACCACGTTGACTCAGACCTTTATTAATCCAACGCCAGGAGAACTGAAAGATGTCAAGTACACTTTCCCTCTGGTTGATGGCGTCAGTGCCGTGGAATTCACATGCGAGATCGGAAATCGAGTAATACGTGGGATCGTCAAGGAACGTGAGGAGGCGAAGGCGGAATACCAAGAGGCCCTGAAGAAAGGGCAGAGAGCCGCCCTACTGGAACAATCAGTCGCCGCGTCTGACACCTTTACCAGTAGCATCGGAAGAATCCCAGTGGATTCAAAAGCGGTTGTGACGATTACCTATCTGGGCGAATTGCAACACGATGCTCAGGCTGACGGCATCCGATTCAGCATTCCAAGCATCATCTGTCCCCGCTACGGCATTAATTTTGTCGAACCCCATGAACGGAACGAGTTCTTGGTCGACCTTGTGCGGAAAGGCGCCATTAACATCACTGTGGATGTTTCAGTGGATCAAGGGTCGATCATCCGGAGACTCCAATCTCCGAGTCATCCAATAGCGATCACGCTAGGCCGGACATCAGTTACTTCGCAAGATGTATTTGAAACAAACCTCGCTTCTGCAACGCTCACAATACAGCAAGAGAATGTCTTTCTCGACAAAGACTTTGTGCTGATTGTCAACACAAAGGACCAGGATATTCCAAGTGGTTTCCTGGAAACACATCCGAGCATCCCTAACCAGCGAGCGCTTATGGCAACTCTCGTTCCGAAATTCAACATCCCACCTATTAGCCCGGAAATTGTGTTTATAATCGATCGAAGCGGGAGCATGGATGGAAAGATTGGTACACTTCAAGCAGCATTGAGAGTTTTTCTCAAGTCGCTTCCGGTTGGTGTCACGTTTAACATCTGTTCTTTTGGCTCTTCGTACTCCTTCATGTGGAAGAAGAGTCGGAGCTACGATGATTCCTCCCTCAAGGCAGCGTTGAAATACGTAGATTCAGTGGCTGCTGATTTTGGAGGAACAGAAATGCTCAAGCCAGTTAAGGCCACGGTGGAGAACCGGTTCAAGGATTTGGATTTGGAAGTTCTGCTGCTCACTGATGGAGCCATTTGGGACCAGGAAACACTCTTTAAGTACATTCACAAGGCAGCGTCGGATAAACCTATTCGCTTCTTTACTCTGGGCATCGGGGATGGTGCTTCTCACTCCCTCATCGAGGGCATCGCAAAAGCTGGGAATGGGTTCGCTCAATTTGTCAATGACAATGAACCACTCGATAGAAAAGTGGTTCGCATGCTCAAAGGAGCACTGACTCCACATATTAAAGACTATACTGCTGAAGTGGCGTTTGAGAGTGATGATAGCGAGGAATTCGAGATTATCGAAAAATCGAATGAAACTCCCACTGGAGACAACTTTCGTCTACCGCAAAGACCTTCTGGAGACACCATGGACGTGGATTCCCAGGGACAGGATACGAAGGAGCCAATCTCTTTGTTTGACCCTTCTTACAAGGAACCTGCTATCCAGTCGTACAGCGTCCCAGTTGATGCAAATCTTCCTAAGCTTCAGTCTCCCAAGCTGCTCCAAGCACCGTACAAAATACCCTCTCTCTACCCATTCAATAGAACCACAGTTTATTTTCTACTTTCGCCGGATGCTCCTAGTTCAACACCTAAAGCACTGATTCTCAAGGGCAACTCAAAGCATGGTCCTTTAATGTTGAGAATCCCAATTGAAGATGTTGGCCAGGGATTAAATATCCATCAACTGGCCGCCCGGAAGATAACGCGCGAGCTAGAAGACGGTCGAGGCTGGATATACCATGCGAAGAACTCGAAGGGACAATTGATAATGGACGAGAATGCAAGCAAAAAGGATGCTATTGTGAAACGAGAGGCAGTCCGTCTTGGACTTCAGTTCCAAGTCTCTGGGAAATATTGCTCCTTCGTTGCCGTTGAGTCGACCAGTGATGGGGAAGCGGCATGTCCAAAGAAAGACACGGTGTTAACCCCAGACGACATTGACTACCGGTTTCCACCGGATAAGGAATATAATAAAATTAGGGCATGCGCTCAGAATACCTACAATTATTCAGTACTCCAGGGACAAGTCCAAGTGCACGGTGGTGGTTTGCTAGGTGCTGTTGGTTCTGTTGGCTCTGCTCCTCGTGGTGGAGGCATGTCTGCGTTCTCTAGGATGACCGCCTCTCTGGGTTTCAGCAAG